TAACAGACTCTTTAAATCCAAATATACACTTATGCTTTTTGTTAAATGGCTCTTCAGAATACCTCCAAATAGCTTCAGTGATCCGCTGAAAGTTCTAGGTATCATAATATTTAAATCCTGAAACATAAATCCCCATCCATAGTTGGTAACAGGAAACTCTTTTTCTCCCATAGAAACCTATTTCATGTTTTTTAACTTAATTTTATTGGTATATTTTAGGCATACAATATAATTATATTCATTACTGGAAATATGCCCCTTTACATAATCTATCTTGGTTCTTATATTTTGAACAGATAATGACAGCTACAAATTATTTCTTTAGAAACTCCATACTTTTTGAACTGAAACTCCTTACTTTTTGCTGATTTCTGCTCACTGGCCTTTCCTTCTACCTAAAATATTCTCGTTTTGAATTGTGATTCTACTTTTTTAGTTGAGTAGAACTGGGCAAATTACATACACTGCTGTCTTTGTATGGACCAGAAGGAAGATACATCAGTGTCTACATTCATGTATAAACTCATTCTTTAGAAGGATAGTTCAGACCTTTTCATGTTCTCAGATTCCCGCATGCAAACCTTTCATATCTTTCACAGTGAGTGTATTGACAAGAAAAGTATTATCAGTTGGTTCTTCCAGACATCTTAGGTTTTAGCAGAGAATGTCTTATCATCTCCTCTATTTGTTAGGGAGGAAAATACTATTTGCATCCGAAGGATGGTAATAAGAATCTTTCCCAAAGATATAATTCTTTTCTACACCATCCAATTTAATGAAGGTAGGCACCACATAACATTTTGAGAGACAATGAATCACATATATGAGTACACACCATATAACCTAGCTGTATAACAGATTATTTCATCTAAGTTTGTGTAAATACATTCTATGATGTCTGTACAAAGAGAAAAATCACCTAAAGATTCATTTGATGCATTTCTCAGTACATACAAAGAGTGGTGAACGACTTAACTTAATTTGTGTTGGAGATGGGTTGAGGGGATGACATTTGCCAATCTGCTGTAAGCTGATCTATGAATTTGTAGACGCAGAAGTGTATCTGGCTCAAATATCAGGAGCTCCTGTGAACTTAGCCAGTGGGGACTTTAACATATTTTAACTGTGAAGTCGAGTCTAATTCACGCATCTTGCACTCACAATTAATTTTAGTTAAAAGCCACAACTTGCCTCTATAAAGCACTTTGAAATGTAAGGGTGATACTAGGTTGTTACCATGCACAGGCAGCTCTAGAGATACTAATAGTGTCAAGTTCGAGAAACAGTACTGTAGAATGCTACTTCTCAATTTTACAAAGTATTCCCAGATGGGATGATTGGGCTTCTCAAATACTACCGCACTAAATTGTCTTAACCAGGTAGGTATCTGTCAGAAATCTTTGTTTTCTCCGGCAACAAACATATCCATGCTTCTAAGACAAATGATGTAACATGAGTAAAGTGTGAAAGAAAGTAAAGCAAACAACACATTGAAAGAGTATATTTGAAAATTACAAAGTAATTGCTATGTTACATATGCAATAAATTACAAGCAGATAAGGAATCTTAACTATTTTATGAATATATAATATATTTATAGGTCACAATGAAAATGGACAAGAAACATGAAAGATGGCTGTGATCAACAGAAATTAATGAAACGCAAATGAAACAAAAACTTTGCAAATTCATCTTACGATCATAAATCATTCGTACTTCTAATAAGTTGATGGTCAATGAAGTTGCTACTTGGGGAACGCTAATTCTTCATTAGATGTAACTGTGCTACATATTTCATATTACTTAAACTCTCCTAAACTTGCCCACTAAATATTTTGGACCAGATAGCTATTTTTTGTGGAGATCATCCTATGCATTGTAGAATATTTAATGGCATCCTTGAACTGTGTGCCCTGGATGCCCGTGTATAGCCTTCCCCTACTTGTGGGAGGAACACAACTTCTATGGAAAACACAATCCCAACATTGTGTTTTGTTTTTGTTCTCATTTTCCAAAATGTCATTGAAAATTTTCAGTAAGAAGATAGCAATCTGTGTTTCCTAAAAGACAATGCCTTATCTGCCTGGACTATTTTATGTTTTGTTTATTCATGTAAACAAAAATGGTTCTTTTGTTTCACGGAAAGTAGCATTCATTCTCTGGTGCCATGTTTGTTCTTTCTGTGCAATAATTTCCCTAATTATCTCTGAATCTGTGAAAAGACACTTTCTACACATAAAGCTATGTCTGTGCTAGTATTATAAGAGATTAAAATACAAAGTCCAGGATGATGTTATCAGTACTGTTGAGAGAGATATCAGTTCTAGACTTTTCATGGAACACGAACTACAAGTCAAACCAGTGGTTATTTGAGGTGATTCCAATAGAGAATATATTTTTGAAAAACTACTGTAATATGGACAGGTGTGACATAAATATTCTCAAATTGTTCAGAGACAGAGATCCATCTAAATGAGGAAGCTCTGATGCTTGATATATATATATGTATATGTATGTTTGTATATATACATATATATATATGTATATATATACATATATATATATTCAACATATATATATATATATTCAAACCACTACATAAATGATTATACATATCCCAAAGACATAGCCATTGTCATGTTGTAAAACTATTCTCTTGCTATTTCCATAAGAAATAAGTAATTGTAATTTCCTTAGTGGTGGTGATAATTTTATCTGCCTCAATTTTGACAGAAATGTGTAAACAAGGGACTTTATTACACCTAAAGACTAATATAATAATTTGAATCCTTAGAATTACAGAATTTAAGCACCTTAAGGATTTAAGGTAAAGTCCACAGACGTGAAATAAATGAGATTACATAGCTTATAATCTCTTCTAGTTCTTGCATAGCTTTTCTTCCCATTTAGAATAACAGTATTCTTTCACCCTCATGAACTGAATACTAATCAAAACTTACCAAAAATAGAAACATATGTTTATCGTTTATTATCTAGAGACAAATGTAACAAATATTTGTTAATTTTTGAATAAATGATTTTTAGTAAGAAAAGCAGGCATATGCCAGAGGAATATATAAAAACATGCCCAGTCTCACCCAGGATCAATTTTTTTCCCATGTTAAAAAAATCTAGCCTTAGATATGTCACTGAATTTTCTCCCTCATTACACTAATCAGAGATGGATGTTAATCATTTTGATAAAAATGATACAAATTGAACTAGGTAACAGTTCATATGCGCGTCTACTTTTAAATAAAAAAGCAACATATAGTAAAAATAAAAGATTTTAGGGATTTAAATAGAAGTACAATACATTTGAGTGAAGAATATACTGTGGTCACCAGAGACCATGCTTTAAAGGAAAGTGGAACAAATGACACAAGATATGGAAACCAGATTCTGCAAGGAATAGGGAAACGGAGGAGAGTTTTTCTGGCGTAAGAGTGAGCATCATTTGTTCAAGTGACTGTTAGGTGGTCTTTCCCCAAAAAATTATTTTACATGAATTCAAAGGTGAGGGAAAGGGTTAGGGTAGTTTTGTTTCCAGCACAAGTAAAACAATAAGAGAAAACAGCCATTTAAAACAACTTACAAGGAATTTTGGAAGAAATTCCGCCTTTTGAGAGGTAACCAGACTATGTCATGCAACTGTGAGTTTCAGTAATCTTAAAATCACAGGCAAACTTGCAGTCTTCTCCTTTCACCTTGTTTTCTTTTGGGCTACAGCGAATTTGCTGACATGCTTTGCAGATGACTTATGCTGTGTCCTTAGATGTAACTCTAAAAGCTGTGCTAGACATGTGTATGGTTCCCATGGCTGTTGGAGAATTTAATTCTGAAAATATGGATTACAAACTGGATGAATAAATGCAACTGGCAAGAGGTTGGTGAATTGAGGTATTTGATTCTTTATTTTATGCTCCTGAATTTTCAAAATGCTTATATTTGCTATAATTTTAAATTATATTAAATTTATTATTAGCATGATTTTTACTATTTTTACTTAGAGGTTAAAATTTTAAGGCACAAGTGGACTCTTCTTTTTCCACTTCAACTACCTATGTATACAGCTCTAATTCTTGAACTCAGTTTGCTTTTACCTGTGGCAATCCTTGTAAAACAGCACCAGCGACATCCTCCTTTACCGTGTCTATGAATACTTTTTATTCTCGTAGCATTTCTTCATAGGGAACCTATCTGGCCATTTCTCAATCACTGTTTTCTACATTAATACAGGCAGCATTCATGAAACTGACCAAGTTTCTGCAGATCACAGTTATAATCCATATATTTGCTTGAGAAAGCACAGCTATTGCAGAAAGGATACACAAGTATTTTTAAAAAGAATTAACAGCAAGATGGCCAGCAGCTGTTCTGGTGTGTTAGAAGTGTTGGCAAATAAAGAGTGAGGAGCAATTTTTAAATACAAAGGATGTGTCTGCAAGCAATAAAGTTGATGAAAATTAGTAAGAGAATTCAGGAGAGTCACAGTATTGTTTTCCTTGTAAGCAAGAAGAGCTGTGTAGGAATCCTTCTGTGAAACATAGAAATAATAAATGCTGAGGCCATTGGAACATAATCTCAATCAGCAAGATGCCACTGCTTTCCAGATTTCCTCACAGGCCCTGCTAATTCCGTGCCAAAACTAGCAGCGGATCTCTTCCCCCTAATCTCCCCCGATGCCTTATTCGATCATTGTCACTGTTCTCCGACCACGCACTGTCCCTTCGGACTCTGCATCTCTCCACTGAATCGGTCAGAGGAGGCTGGGTGTCTGCAGGATATGGTCTAGGACCACAAACTACCTTGTTCCATGTGAAAAGACAGAAACAAGAAAAACAAGAGCAAGGGGAACCCTCAAAGTTTCTCTACCAACCACTTCATCTTTGGATTACTGACTGGAAGTAAGCAAGGAAGAGGGCTATGAGGAATTTGGACAATTTCTCTAGCCGATTGTTACGGGAGAGCTGATCGGGAGAATTCCAGTAAGCCATAGGATGCTGTCACTTCAGTCTTGGCTGTATGTTATTCTATGGTAAGATTTTTTCCCCCTGATTTTTCCATTTAGCTCACAGGAGAGAAAAGTCATCCATGGGATGACTTCTATATCAGTCTGTAAAAGAAGCTAGGGATAATACAGAATATATTTATCTCGGGGTGGACTAGAGTCTACTAGACAACATATCTTCTCCGAGGCCAGAGTGAGAAGCACTGATCGACTCTCTATCTTCAGGCTGGAAAATGCTCTGGCAAAACTTGAAGATGAAGGCAATTTCTACTCAGAAAATGTTAGTCGAATCCTGGACAACTTGCTTGAAGGCTATGACAATCGGCTGCGGCCAGGATTCGGAGGTAAGGAGCTGTACTGTTTAGCTAGACTCATTATCTGTAGCCTTCTTCCTCCCTCATTGCCCTTCCTGGACCCAGAGGCTTCAGAAAGGAGGTAGTTTATCAGAACCGCAAGGTGCAGGGCTACTGGAGGGATGCTGTGCCTGTGTCCTATCCGGTCTTGTTCTTTTCTCAATTGGCGACCTTCTGCATGTTACTTAAACTCTCTCGGCCTCAGTACCTTTGCTGCTTTGTACCAGGTTTGTGTCAGTGTAGAATGTGATTCTCCACCTAAAATACTTTTCTTAACATTTGGCTCATGGAAGATATATATTTTTATTCATATATATATAATTCATTTATTTACCTGGCTATTTTTATTCTTTTTAGAACTTCAGTGTATTTCTCTCAGATTTCTTGTTTCCCCAATTTTACTAGAATAAATGCAAAATAAGGCTACTGACATAAGCTTTCAGAGTTGAAAAACCTAAAGTCTCCCATGGCTGCATCACATCGCTGTGGCAGCAGATTCTGGCTGTGCAAAGGGACTCTGGGGAGTTTTCTGGGCCCCCTTAACACACCACTGGTGATAGCCACCCCAATTCTCTGGGATAATTTCAGGTGCTGTCACTGAAGTCAAAACAGACATTTATGTGACCAGTTTTGGGCCTGTGTCAGACGTGGAGATGGTGAGTAAGCTTTGTGTATGATGGGTGTTTTTACTTAGGAGAGGAGAGCTCAGTCCCAGGACTCATGAAAATGGGGATTGCCACATGCCTGGCTTCAGATTCATGATGCGAAACGTGGATTCATGCTGGAAGGATGCGGCCATTAGAGCCGATTACTACTGTCTGAATCTCTTTCATGTTTCATGAAGGGTTCTGCTTGAATATTTTAAGCTGAGGAACTTTTAATATAACACCCTGTATTCATTCGCATACCATGTACCCATTCCTACAAAGATAAGAATTTCTCCTTCACAAAGTCTTAGTAAATTTGTAGGACTAGGAAAAACATGATTCTATGCCATACAGTATCTAAGAAATTTAAAACATACCTGTATTTCATAGAACATCATTATCAGTAGTGTTTACTGAAGCAGTTAAGGGAGTAGTTGGAAAGGCTCATGCATCCTCCTTTCACAATGTGGATGGACCAGTGGGGGTCCTGAGCACTCGGTTTCAGGTACAGATGGTTGTGGGATTCGTAAGAGGGTATTTATAGTCAGCAGCCATGAAAACCTGAACTAGCCTTCTAGAACAGAGTGCATTCTGATTTTCTTTCCCAGCTGTCAGGTGGCAATGCCCCCGACACTGAAATATCAATACAAGTGTGTAATACACAAACGATCTTTAAAGAGCTGTGTCACTAACTTTTCTTTAGGGAAATGAAATTTTGAGTTGATAAGAAAAGAAGGAAGGAATGAAAAAGGAAGGAAGCAAGAGAGGGAGAAAGACAAAAAAGAAAACAAACTTGGAAGATGGAGGGGGAGGAAAGGCTTTGTTGCTGGACAAGAATCTTACACCTTGAGGAGAAAGAAAGCATAACTCAGAATCCTGATAATTTTTAGTATCATATTTTTCATTTAAATAATGATTCATCTAAAAAAAATAACCACAACTATTTTCCACTATATTATTTAGCTCTGGATATATTTGGATTTTTGTTTCATGCCTGTGTTTCTTTTTAAAAGTTTACTTATAAGACAAAGCCCTAATATAGTTTAGGTCATCATTCCATAGGTATATTGCTATTAAATTATGTTTAAAAATATGATCAGAACTTATAGTAATAAATATTGAGAGGGAATTACAAACTAGAGAGGACCGATATTGATAATGCTTTGATATAATAATAAGTTGCAACTTATCATTGACTGCTGCTATAGCCTTCCTCACAATTTTAAACATTTTTAATGTTGTTTCATTTAAGTCAAAATTAAAAAGCAAAATTTTGCTATGCATACTTAAGGGACACAGAATAATCACAGCGACATTTGCTTTTTCATTTTCTGATAATAATATAGAACAGTTATGATGCATAGATATAATGCTCTAATCAATAAACTTTATCGGTTCTTAGAGCTTTAATGAATGGTACCATAGGGCTCCAAGACCCCCCTGAAGGCGAGTGAGGTTCTAGGAAGAATGGTGAGAATATCCAATGTTAGGAAAGGCAGCACAAAGCCCAGACAACACATTTTTTTCACTAATTCTTCTTGTAAGTTAAGGAGGATAACACATATGGGTAGATACAGGCTGGACAGGTACAGAAGAAGCATGCTGAGGAGAGTCACGACAGCAGGAAGAGGTTCTCTTTCACAGCACCATGTTTCATAATAGTATTACGAATTTTTAATTTTGAGAAAAATGATTCACCAAAATCACTGTTTAGTGATTATAAATCATTCGATAAGTACGATAATCAATCATCTGTTGCGTATAAAAGAATTATTTACTTATTAGTAAATTATTATTCAGCTTTACTGGAGAAGTTTTGCCAGTAAAAGGTTGCCAATAAAAGGTTGATTTATTGCTTTTGAATTGGGTATATTTGCTAGTGAACGGGCTTAACTAACCATTTCTGCGGGCTGTGTGAATGTTTGATTTTTCCTTAGGAATACACAATGGATGTTTTCTTCCGCCAGACTTGGACTGATGAGAGATTGAAGTTTGGGGGGCCAGCCGAGATTCTAAGTTTAAATAACTTGATGGTCAGCAAAATCTGGACACCAGACACTTTTTTCAGAAATGGTAAAAGGTCAATTGCTCACAACATGACAACCCCTAATAAACTCTTCAGAATAATGCAGAATGGAACAATTCTGTACACCATGAGGTGAGGTTTCGCTAATTCTGTTACCTCCACCTGAGCAATTTAACTCCCATGCTAACTCACAATAACCTTTCAATGTCCCTAGGCTGACCATCAATGCTGACTGTCCCATGAGACTGGTCAACTTTCCTATGGATGGACATGCTTGTCCACTCAAGTTTGGGAGTTGTAAGTGATAGAAAGCCTCTGAGAGCCAAATAATGCATTCAAATATGTTATTATTTGGTTTTAGAGACCGAAAAAATAAAAGAAATATTATTATGACACCTTCAATGTGATTTCAGGAATATGCTTGCTGAGATTAAGGAAAAACAAAAATAAAATTTGTGTTGCAAATCTTTTTTCTATAAACAAACTGGATGGTTTTATGAAAAAAAGAAAACCAATCATATTCACTGCTATGTTTATTTCAAAACTTCAGATGCTTATCCCAAAAGTGAAATCATATATACATGGAAAAAGGGACCTCTTTACTCAGTAGAAGTCCCAGAAGAATCTTCTAGCCTCCTCCAGTACGATCTGATTGGACAGACAGTATCTAGTGAGACAATTAAATCTAACACAGGTAAGAATCTGACCAAGATGATTCCAGTGCACATTTTCAAAATATCTATTCATTTCTCCTTCACATTAATCATTCTTATCTAATTGCTCTCTGATGTGGCACATACATAACTTCTTAATTAGTTTTGCAACTGAGTGCATATAAAGATTTGTGTAATCCTGGAATAAGGTGTTTTCCACGAAGAGCCCAACTGGAAACAGGAGCTAACAGTTTTGCTCTGTCAGCTGCTAATCAAGTAACCTTCTCATATATTGACAAAATGCCTTTACTTGTTATCTTCCAGCCCATGCTAATTTAAACCCTTGCAAGATTTATGTTCACCTGCGTTCCTTTTGCAGACTGTCAACAGCAGTACTGACATACGTGTCTTCCAACAGGTGAATATGCAATAATGACAGTGTATTTCCACTTGCAAAGGAAGATGGGCTACTTCATGATCCAGATATATACCCCGTGCATCATGACAGTCATTCTTTCCCAGGTGTCTTTCTGGATTAATAAGGAGTCCGTCCCAGCCAGAACTGTCTTTGGTATGCCTCCGGCTTTGTGCTCTAGTTCCGCTCATCCACCCCTTGCTCGTGCAATTTGAGGAAATATTCACACCAGTGCACTTTTCACAGAGGAAACAGACTCTTATGTCATTCAGACATACATAGTATGTAAAGTCACCCTCATTCCACTGCAAGCTGTATGGCAAACAAACAAACAAAAAGTCTCAACAATAATTCTGGCCAATATCTTAAAGCTTCACTTGACCTACTTAGCAGGATTTCACCTTGATTTGCATTTTTTCATTAGAAGGAAAAGCAGAAAGGTAAAAATTGATCTTTCAAATGAGGAAAACAAGAGGCCAAATGGTTTGGCTGAAACCTATGTGAATTATATCTCACTTTTCTTAGGCTGAATCATATAAAACTTTCATTTGTGCCAGTCTAAAAATAGTTAAATAGCACCAATTTCCCATGGCTTGACTTAAATATTTAGTGCCATTTATGACTATAAAGTACTCATCTAGATGGAGCAGTATGAATGAAGAAAAATCTGTAACTGAAAATATTACCAGAAACAAAATCTTTTTTTTATTTTCATTACAAATCAGGTAGTGTATAGGAAAGACTTGAGTTAAAGTGAAATCTCAGATAAATCTTGACTTGCAAATTTACTGTATTAGAATAGGCTTAATTTTTTTGCAAAGTATAGAAAGATATCTGCATAATGATGTTGACCGTCAATATTATTATACACCTCCTAAATGTTCAGATACCTCACATCCACTGTTCAAACAGGAAAACTGCTGGCAGATTACTGATCAAATTTATTTTCTCCTGGGTAAATACTTAACCATAAAACTAGGCTAATGAAAAAAATTACAGTAACCTAACTTTATGTTAATATTCACACTACATAGACTTCTCAAATGTAATGAAAGATATTACTCCTTATGGAAATCGATCATAAATTCTAGATGCGGTTTTATTTAAGTGATAATAATTTGTTAGAGTTATTTTTTATACAGTAAACAAAAAGAACTATTCAGGACTCACACAAAACAGGCTAATTCCGTTCAACAGATAATTTTTTGAGCAATACATCATATCAGTCACTGCATTAACTTTGAATGATAGAAACATAATACTTAAGATGATGATAATGAACCATGAGAATACAATAATGCGACAAAAAATACTGTGCAGTGGTAGAGTATTTCATCCCTCCTAGCTACACATTTTCACTTGCTCCTGTTTGTGGGTTCCCAATATTAACACTGTCTTTCTCATTCCTTTTACTTGTAGGGATCACCACTGTTTTAACCATGACCACCCTAAGCATTAGTGCGCGACACTCCTTGCCCAAGGTGTCATATGCAACTGCCATGGATTGGTTCATAGCTGTGTGCTTTGCTTTCGTCTTTTCCGCTCTCATTGAATTTGCAGCTGTCAACTACTTTACCAATCTTCAGACGCAGAGGGCCAAAAGGAAGGCACAGGTTGCAGCCACATCCCCAATGACAAAATCAAAGGCGACTGAACCCAGGGAAGCTGAGATCGTGGTGGTAACTGTTTTCTTTTCTAATCTTACCTACCAGGTAGGAAAAGGCAGTCCAAAGAGAGATTGCAAGAAAATAAACAGTCCAAAGTAATGTTAATTGAGCACAAAGGTATATAACTCTAGTTCCAAGAGCAAGAGTGATTTTGCTTCCAGTTCTGCAGGAAAAGACTAAGGAACAATTCTTCATTTATTTTGCCTTTAAACTCATAGCATAATTCTTTCATCATCCTTGCTTGTGCAGGCAGATTCCGGGCTCTCAAAGGAGACTAGAAAATTCTGCTTAGCCTTTAGATGTTTCCTTTGAACAGGTTTACTTATACCAACCAGAGAGAACAAAGTTTAAAAGAGGTTCTTAATGAGGCTTCAGGGTCTGAAGGAACGAAACAAGGACTCTCATAGAATGCACAATTTTTTGACAGAAATCTGCTTGCTGTTTTATTTCATGAGGGCAAGACATGAATAGTAATAATTTCTGAATATTGAGTCAAAACCCAAATATCTAGCTAACTTTAAAACATTCTAACATTGATACCTGTTTAATAAATATATATACATCAAGAAGCTTATGTTCAAAGGCTTATGATGAGTGATAAATACTCATAAATTTACAGTAAGTATGCTGTGGCCAAGGTTTGGCCCCCCAAAGTTTCTGAGCAAGGAACAAATTAATAAATTAATATATAAAATTTCAAATATGTTTCTAAAATATATTATAAAACTGATTATGAGTATACATTTTTATTTTAATACAAGCCACCAAGAGTATTTCTTACGAAAAAAAAAGTATTGCTACTCTGAAAAGTTGAATAAGAAACTGAACTAGAAATCTTCTGGAACTGACAAATTGTAGTAAATATTTCTGAAAACCACATGCATCTTAGTAATCATTGGTTTGACTTTATGATAAAAATTATAAAGCTATGCATGTTTTACTTATCCAAATGTGAGAAATTTTTGACTAAAAATATGACAATTTTTTATAAACTAGGAATCTTATTTAACAATATATGTTTTCTCCAGAAAAGAAAAAAGGCAATTCTATAATAAAAGGAGACATAAGTATTCATTTTAAAAATTTTCCTTATTATAAGAGAAAAAATATTTGCCTCCTAGTGATCTATTTGAATTATCTCCTTTATAAATGGAGAAATAGTCTCAGAAAAAGTCTGTAGAAAAAGTAGGAATTGATTCTAGAATTTCTTATACATACATTACAGAGACTAAGGGTATCACTGCTCCAACATGTTCTCAAGGATTTAAACACACAGAGTTTATATCACTGGGGAAAAACATTTTAAAAATATGTTGAATTAATCTCCCCCACCCCATCATCCATTTGACTTAATGATATTTTCTTCCTATTTGTGTTTTGAAAGATCATAAAAGTATAGGTGTTGTGACAAACATATGCTAGTCTACAAACTTAGTCAAAGATATTTTAAAGCCACCTTTTCAAGCAAGATAAATCGCACACATTTTTTAGAATTATTTTATGTTTTCAAAAAAAGACATTTTGCTATAAATGATCTGTGTACATAAGCACATAATGCACACATTATGAAAAGGTCATAGAGTAACCATCCCATTAGGCTATTATTTTGAGTTTAATTTATGAATAAGATGGAATTTAAGATCTCCAATCCTGATATATCCTATTTCCTATGTTCCTAAAATAGTGACGTATAATGAACAGATCCTTTGGGTAGCTGTTTAAAAAATGCTACTTAAATCACTTTGAAGCACATTTTCTTGTAAGTCACATTTTTTTCCTTATGAAAAATTATATTTCTGCACCTACATCTACTTCAAACATTTTAAACCATAGACTAGAACTTTGTTTCTAAGAGTCAACAGTGCAAAAATTTAAAACCAAAATAACCAGACAAAAAAGGCTTGAAGATATCAAAAATAAAATCGATTATGTAAGAAATTTATATTTTATTTGTTTATGTCAAAACTTGGCCAGTTGCCTTATATAATATAGAGGAACAAACATAAATTACACATCTGCAATTTATGTTACTCAGATTGCAAGGCATGTTTTTTTGCAAATATCATGACATTTAAAAATGCCTATTCAGTTGTAATCAAAACATTATTGGAATGAGTTGGACATTGAAATAGCATACTGTTGTGGGAAAATTGAGATGAAATTAGGGTGTCTGAGTATATCATGTGATTCTAAGCTGCATCCTTTAAATTTTCACAGGAAATTATTTTGAATTTATGAGGATGTTTGTCACTTATCACTCTAACACTGACTTGGAAATTTATGTAATAATGACAAATAAATTCAAGTATTTAAAAATGTGACTCAAACTGAAAAGACACCTTACAGCTAAATTCTCAGGTGGGCTCTGTAGACTATTCATCTTGCAGCTTCTAAAGCATTTGGAAGTGGAACAATAATTTATTTTTCTAGGCTTTGAGGAAAACTGTTAGCACCGTTCTCTAGTTTCCTTCCTGTTTTTACAATTATGTCATCTTAGCACTAGAATTATTCCTATTTCACGGTTTCAGAACCTTTGATGGGCCTGAGGTGAACCTATGATTCATGGGACCAAGTTTAGTCTTTGGCCTCCTCTTGCATAGTTCATTAGTTTCCTTAGATTTTAAAGGGCTAAGCTCTTATTGCTGCGTTCCTACGAGTAAATCCTCTACACCCCATCAGCACCTCTCTTGAGTACTGTCATTACTCCTAATACGGGACGTCTTCTTCACGGGGAGTGAGATATATTTGTTAATTACCTACGAACAAAATTGACCAAAACTTCATTAGCCAGGCCAATAGTTACAGGTTACACTGTTTATTCATTTTCTTTTCTGTCTCAAATCTGGCCCCCATTTGTGAGTATCTACGTGTTCACTGAATTATTCATGCTGTAAGCATTTGTTTAGTGCTCTTATGTGCCAGCAGAATGCTAAAATCATCATATGACCTTTTCCCTAGCAGAGCTTCTTTCTACCAGAAAGAAACTCAATAAGGGGAGAGAAAAGTCACGGATCCTTCGTAGTACAGGCTGTGCTTGGAGATGCAGGGTAGAATGAAGAAGAGCCATATAGGTGTCTCCATGGGGAGGATTCTGAAGCCATCTCCGTTTCTGCAGAGGCAATGTATAAACTGAGCAGAGAAAGATAAGTCTGACCCTGAACTGGGAGCCCATTGCTGGAAACTTGAGTGCAGAGGAGTCGATAAGATAATGCCCTTCCGGCCCTTCCCCTTACAGTGAGGATTTGTGCCAAGCCAGGTCCATGCTCCGCTCACCTCTATGGAGAGATGTGATGGATAGGACGCTGAAAAGTTATGTTTCCTCTTCCGAATTTCCTATTTATCTTACCTACTCTCACTGCTCTCTAGAAGTAAAGGTTACATTAAAACTATCAGAATTTCTAAACATCAGAGAGATCATGGTACGCTGTGCCATGACTGTACCACCGCGGGATTAAGAAGAGAATGAGGTGATTTAGACAGGGGTAGAAAAGGGCGGATGTTTCTATCAAATCCATCCATCCTATCAAATCTCCGCCCAGTACTCCATTCTGCACCCTCTAAACGGTGGTCTGCTTTCCTCTAGCACCACGGATGCATCAGACTGATGCCAATAAACTGCTTCTCTGTAGAGATTCTCAAATCATTTCTGTTCTCAACTCTTATTGGCTGTTATAAACGCGGAAAAACAATAATCCAGTACAGTGCTGATTTTCGCCATAATGATTATTTGATGATGATTTTCAAACATATCAAACACTAAATGTTGTTAAACAAAATATTATCTTTTATTTTTGGTGCCCCTGATGCTGGTATTATAAACACTTACTCTTTGTCCACTCAGTAGCACAGCTCCGGATAGAATATCTCAATTAAGAGTCAACCTTTGTCCTGTGCTTTTTAAAATATCAGACTTAAAATTGTTCTATTTTCCTAATGACTTATCCCTACATCAAATAATTCACTGTCATATTTCTCACTTTGACTCAAAGTACCTTTGCAATGTGACTTAAAACAAAGCAGTGCTCTAAAAATACCCAAGACAGGATGGCACTCAGCAGCAGGGGAGCCCTGCAAAAATTCAAAACCACAGGTGTTCTACTCAAAACAGTGACAGCCCCAAGCTGAGCCCTCATCTGGGCTCTAACAAAAGCCTATTTCACCATCAACTGAAGCTGCTGGGCTTACAACAGAGAAGGCGGTTCTACTGCAGACCTGTAGCTTAAATGGATTACAAAATTGGCTTTCTCATCACTTCAGAGATTCAGTGTGTTTCTTCTTCCTCACTGCTCAGTATTTTCCAGTTGCCAATTCGGAATTATGAAGCAGCTGATTATCCATTGTAAACAGTACCCAGGACTCCTGTATTTTCTTTAGCACATTATATTTGTTGCTGCCTAGAATCCCCCTAAAAGTACTAGGCAGTGGAACAACTGTGCCTCAAACCACATTCTTACTAGGGGGCTGTGTTTCCCTCATGGTACATTTGGCAAGGTCTGGAAATATTTCTGGTTGTTACACTTTGGGGGTGTAGGGTGCGACTAGTCTCTCACAGGAAGAAGGTTCGAGGGATGCTCAATATCCCGTGTTGCATAGGACAGTCTCCCACAGGAAAGGATTATCCAGTTCCAAACGTCAGTAGTTCTCAGTTTGACAGGCCAAGCCTGGTAGCAGTGGGATGAACTAGAGAGCTGCTAAGAATGTGATCGTTGCCATCTGAGAGGACGTATTATCTACATGAGCTTCCTACTACAGTTTCCACTTGTTCCCTTCTAAAATAAAAATGATACTAAGAATGTTTCAAGCTGAGCGTGGTGGCACACACCTGTAATCCCAGCACTCGGGAGGCTGGGGCAGGAGGATCACTGTGAGTTCGAGGCCAGCCTGGACTACAAAGTGAGCTCTCCAGGTCAATGTCAACTACATAGTGAGACCCGGCCTTA